ATATCCCCCGGGGAACTATAGATGGATGGTGAAATCAGGTAAATTATAACCAAAATTTAAGTTCTTTTTGGAATAGGCGTGCAAGTTAAGGATAAAATTATACATATGGATAAATTTAAGTTCATAACTTAAATTAAAACGTTATGTGAAGTTTGAATAAATTGGATAAACTGTTATGAATAAATTGAATAAATGTTAAGTGATCAATTGGTTGTTTGAATATATTGGATAAAATGTTACGGATAAATTGAATAAATGTGAAGTGATAAGTTGGTCGTGACATTGAAATTGTATGGAATGAGCATCGACATGTTTTTACGAATAAATATGAAGTGATAAGTTGGTTTTAATGTATATGTTAAGGATAAAATCATATGCATGGATAAATTTAATTTCAATTTAAGTACTGTGAACTATAATTGGAATATAACTTTTAATTTTGAATACTATTGGAATATTAAGTTGAATTTAATGTTAAATTTCGAATACCATAATTTGTATTTTAATTTTAAATTTTGAATACTATAATTTGTATATTAAAAACATTTAATGTTAAATTTGAATAAAAAATAACATTAAAAATATTGTTCTAACAACCATGAAACATTAAAATAACATAAACAAATTACATAAATTTATGAAATATAATTATTTAAATAACATTAAAATAAAACTGGATCACCGATGTCGTCTTCTCGAATGAGTTCCACATGGCGGTGGTTGTTTATTTCGCTAAGGATTTCTTCGTGGAACTTGTTCTTCAGTCTCCTCGTCTTCATTACCATCATCATTATCGACATTTTCTTCGGCTGGTGTTGTAGATGACGCTGAAGGGCCTGTATAAAATGACGACCCTGGAGGAGTGCTACTAACAATCCCACCGCTCATAGAAAATTGAGAAAAATGTGAAAACATTGGCATCGATGTGTGTGATCCATATGGAGATTGAGGTGTCTGTGAAGAATGACCACCAGCCAAATAAGATGCATATGAACCATATGTTGGATCATTAAACATAGCCGTATATGCACCTCCATATGGTGTCATAAAACCCTGCGGGCTAGGCATGTAACCTGGAGGGCTAGGAATATAACCCTGAGGGCTAGGAATATAACCCTGCGGAGATGGCATATAAACTGGTCGGCTTGGCATATACCCCTGAGGAGATGACATCTGAACTGGAGGGCTGGGCATCATCATCGGTGGATAGGGATGTTGTGGTGGGACTGATGTAGAACCGGTAGCGCCTTCTCTCCGTTCACAAGTCGGGGGATGATGATATTGAGACGGTGGACGTCTCTCTCGGTGCCTAGGAATGTTAACCCCTTGTGCTTCCGCCGAAAGTAGAAATAGCTTTCCATTTTCATTAAACCAGTCCATATAGTTATCCGTAACCATATGAACAGTTTCAGCGTAATATTGTCGAGGGGCCAACTGTGCATATCGGTTCTCCCAAAGCGCAATCCAATCTCTGTTTCTCACCACGCAGTTAACATCTTTCTTGCCTCGTCTATCTATATTATGCATGTTTTCTAAATTCCTAGGTGCTCCAGGAATATATTGCGTACAATCAAACTGACGGAGCACGCGATCAACTGGATGCCACTCAATAATAGCATAACATATAAGAGGTACAACTGACATCCATACATCTAATGACCCACTTAGGTGGGGTGAGATGCAAGCCTTTACTTCATCGCTCGTATAAGGTATCCACTGAAACTGAAATATAAATATACAATTCAAATAAATATAATAGTAGAATTATATCTAACATTTTAAATTAAATATTCATATTTAAACATATTTCAAAACATACCTTAGACCCAGCTTTTGTATCAATAAGTAAACGAATTTCCTCTAGTCCAGTAGGTATATCTCTATGGTTCTTTCTTTTCATCGACCACCTATGAAATATAATATAAACTAAATATCACCATATTTAATTAAAAATATTTAAATCAAAATTTAGTTCGAAAATTACCTCAATAATAAGGGGAATATGTATGGTTCATTGACGATCGGACATAATAAAGGAATGCAGAACCACGCCCATGATTGCAAAAGCAGGAGACATCCACCGATAGCAGTTTTCTTATAATTTGTCGCACGACACATTTCTCTAAAGAGAAATGTCAAAACTGCAGCGCCCCAACTATATCTTCCAGCTTCATCAAAATCAATCAAATGTCGCAACCACATATAATACACATGGTTGCGAGATTTTTCAGACATCAATATTCCTCCAATGATTTGTAAAATATAAGCCCGAGCACATGCCTTTACTTCATCATCTGAAGCATTTTCATTCAGAACTTCAAAATTAGCTTTTAACCATGATAAAGCTATTCTACCTCCATTAAACTCTGACGGAGCATCTCCAAGATACTCCATGCACATTGACTGCCAATTACCATCCGCCATACCACACATAATATTCCCATCGACGGGAAGCCCCAGATGCATAGAGACATCCTCCAATGTAATTGTAGCCTCTCCACATGGAAGATGAAATGTGTGTGTCTCGGGCCTCCACCTCTCAATCAATGCAAAAATTAGGACATATTCGAGTTTGTAACTGCCAATAATTGTTGCAATATATCCGAATCCAGTAGAAGACAAATATGGAAAAATACGTTATGGTGTCGGTATACGTGAGTTTTTAATAAAAGTCTCTAAAATACGATCATTTTCCTAAATAATATGCATTATAAAAATTTATAATTAATATAAATTCATTATAAATTTAAATTAAAAATAATAATAAATATTAACATTAATTATAAAAAAAATATCACCATATCACTAAAATGTCTGAAGTTATGGTTAGCATCCAATTTCAGCAGCATTTCACTTTCCATTATAATTGCAGACAAAAAATATATAATTAGTACAAAAAAATAATTAATTAATAAATTTAAATAAATAACAATTATATAAATATTATTTTAATAAAAAAAATAATATTTATATAATTATATTACTATAAAATATAAAAACTATTTAAAAAAAATACTAACTTAAAAATAAATTTCTTACTACTAATAAAAAATTTAAAACTCAAATAATTGGAGAATTTGAGTTATATAAAAGAGGAAAAGATGATTTGGGTATGAAGAATGAGAGGGAGCTGAGGGGGTTTATATAGGGGAGGAAGAGGGGTAGTTGAGGGAAAACGAATGAGGGCATTTATGGCATTTAATAGAAGGCTCGTCCTCAGGGATGCGCCTTCCCCACGTGACGTCCGATCCAGCATAATCCCGTGAAAGCGTATCCCCGGGGATGCGCCTTTCACACGTGGTATCCGACTCAGCATAAACCCAGGTAAAGCACATCTCGGGGATATGCCTTTGTGCCATCTCAGTTGAAAAAATACTACATTAAAAAATATTGGTCAACAAGTGTTAGAACGGGAGAATTTAAAAAAAACGAGTCAGTTAGATCAAATCATCATTTATCATACCATTCCACATATATACATCCCATCACATCAAATCACATTACATCTAACATTTGAGGCATGCAGCAGCTTGTGCATGATTCCCTTCTCAACCTTCCCACCACATTCTTTTTCATCTATACTTTTTTCAAGCTCTCTATGGCTTGATCACACCTTTTCAATGATTTCCCAAACTATTTCCGCCAAGAGGTAAAAACATCGTATATGTGCCTAGTGCATCCCAGAAAAAGTTGATCTTAATATAGTTCAATTAAATGGATCTTTAGATTATTTCTCGGATTAATATCTTTCGTATCACATAAGATTAAACCGTGTTATGTAAAAATTGTTTTTGAAAACGTATCATGTATGATGTGTCTTTTACCTACATGGCAATATAACAAGCATATGATGAGTTGAAATGAAAAGAAAGGAAAAATATAAGCGAAAAATATATATATGAATTTTGTTTAAAAAGAAAAAATGTGAGCGCGAGTCGGACGATAACACACGTGTATTAATTTTATATTCAATCGTTTAAAAAATTAAAAAAAATAAAAGATTATATTTAAACACTTAATACTCACATATCTAAACAATATGATATTTAAGAAAGTCGTCAAAACTAACAACCAGTTGGTCTAGTGGGATGAGATACTATGTCCTTTAAGTAAAGTTAGAGGTTCGAATCTTGACATTTACGAATGGAGCAGATTGGGTTGGGAGGGTCGCCATCGCCTTTGCAGTACCCGATCTGGATTAGTCGGTCAATAGATCGAACACCAGTAATTAATTAAAAAAAAAAAGTCGTCAAAAATCACATTGTTTAGATTCAAGAGTTTTTAATTATTTAAATATAATTATTTAAATATACATTTATTAAGTGATTGAATATAAGACAAATATATTAGTGGCCACTACCGTCGTTACTCAACCCTACTCATGTTCGTACTCATGTTCGTACTCGTACAATTATATGTTTTTAATGTATGTATTGTTTTTTATTTTTTTCTTTTGTTTAAAATTCATTTTTTCCTTTCATTTCGCCTCAATTCGAAAATGTGTCTAATTTTTTAATAGATAATATTTCAGTAAAAAAAACCAATCAAATGCATATCACAAGGAAAAATATGAATAATTTAGAAGCTGAAAGCGTAGATAAAGTTAATTAATTTCACATGGACTGCTATGGCCGTGCAGAGCTGCCCAAAGTAGAGTTGTTATCAGTGCAACAAAGTCAATATCTTACCAAACCCTGCTTCTTTATTGTACTTTCCCCAAAATGCTATTCAACCAAATTGCATTCTCTGTTGACTACAAGTTCAAGATTGGCATGAAAAATAAGTTGAAATTCAATCGAACTCCATAGGAAACTAATATGAAATCTTCATTTCAAAACCATGTAAATATGGAGTCTTCAATACCATACAAGTTTATCTATTATAAATAGAGATATAACTTAAACCTATGAGATATTAAATAAAACTTCTATCATCGCTTAGGCACATGAACCTCATTAAAAATTATTGTTTCATCTTATTTTTTTATCCGATTCTTCAACAATTGATTTTACTAGACAAGCATCCATGATTTTCCAACAAAAAGACAAGAAAAACCCCACCATGATTAGAACACAATAATGCAGATTTGTCTCCCATGGTTATCAGATCAAATAGTCAATGCATGCATGCGCACAACACATAGGAGCCAATGATGCACAAATAGCAAAGTGTTCTTGGTCTCTTGTTGCAAAATGGTTAGACTCCAATTCCTACAATCCGCAAAGTGTTCTTCTCTTGTTGCAGGCCTTTGCATCAGAAACTATGCAGCTGGGTTAACATGGTTACAAGCTCATCACTCGAAGGCCTTTCCGCAGGCAAATCCGATAGACAGACGACAGCAATTCTCGCTGCCATCAGCATCTCATCTTCCTCAACTTCTTCCCCGATAATACTTTTATCTAAAGCTTCACGCGCTTCCCCTGCCTGCTGCAAATGCTGGAGCCACTGTCCTAGACTCCCTCCGCTGGCCGCTTCCCGGAAAAACGGATCGGTGGGATATCTACCGGTCAATAGAACACCCAATATCATCCCGAAGCTATAGATATCGCTCTTATCGGTATACCTGTTGGAATCAAAATTATCCAGCTTTGTTAGAACAAGCATCCGGTTTAATTCAACAAGTGTCTCACAGATTCTAAATACAACAACAAACAACAATAAAACCCTATTTCCATATGCAATGGAATAAGAGAAGGTAGGATGATAGGCTACCAAACACCAGGTAGAAAGCAACTTCCGTGGAAGACTCAAGCAGTTAGAAAATTAAAAATATAGATAAAATATATATATATATATAAATAAATAAATAAATAAATAAATAATTAAACAGATTTCATAAAATCAATAATTAAGGGTGCTCAGGTAACAAAACATAGAGGCAATCATCTGTCAACCTAAAATTCTACAACAAACTCTAGATTATTGACAAGCTACCAATTGCCAGAAACCACCAATAGGTATAAAAATCATACGCAGCAAGCTTGAATATCATAATAACTAGAGTACCTGCAGTTCTGGAAACATTCAGGAGCACAATAACCTGAAGTTGCCCGATCTATGTTAGGCATGAGCTTAGCCAATCCGCAATCGGCCAGCCTCGGTTCGTATTCAGCATCTAACATCACATTTGTGGGCTTCAAGTTGTAGTGCAAAATCTGAGGGTCACAAGTAAAGTGAAGATATTGAAGACCCTTAATCACTCCCACAGCAATCCTAAGCCTGACATCCCATCGAAGCTGCAGGTGGTTTTCCCTTACACCATTCATGGCATCCTCAAGGCTCCCCACGGGCATATAATCATAAACCAAAGAAAACCTATCAGATTCACGAACATAAGCCCGTAAGCTCCTCAAATGCCTGTGTCTCAAGCTAGCAAGAACCTCCAGCTCTTGTTGTATCCTCCTCTTCACCGACTTGCTCAGAGTCTCCGGCGAGCCGCTGTCGAAGGGCTCGAGCACTTTGACGGCGACGGTGAGCCCGTTGTCGAGTACCGTTTTGTAGTACTTCCCGTTGGAGCTTGACCCCAACAACTGTTTCTCATTTGCAAGGGCTGATTGAAGAGTCTTGGAAGATATCTTGGGGGAGAATATAACTGGACCTTTAAGGAATGGGGTTTGATTGATGTACTGAAGAACACTTTTGATCAGTAAAGCAAACAGAAGAGCTCCAATCAATCCAGTTAGAATTCCCAGCACAATGCTGAGAATTACCCTTTTGAGTCCAATCTTGAAGTCTTGAGGCTGAGAAGAGAGTCGTCTAATGAGCCGTTCTTTGCACTCTATAGTTGTTGTTTGGTGAAAGAACAGAAGCAGAAACAGAAGCAAACCCAGAGTGATTCTGCAACTTCTCATTTTCGCCATGGAAGCAAAAAGTAGCTACCAACAAGCATCAAAACAAAAAACCAAAGACACAGAATATGAAGACAAAACACACATAAACGGACGGTTCTTTTTTCTTATCTTAAAGCAGCTTCAAAACCCCCATAGCCCCCAATATCCAAAACCCCATAATAATCCTCCACGTTTCTTCAGCATCTGACAAAAAAAGCAAGGACCGGAACTCGGAACTTAAATTCACTTACCCTGCACCAATACCAAAGAAAAAGCTTCAATTTTTCTATTTAAAAAACTGGGACTTCGCTTTTCTTTAGTGTCCAACTTTTTTGAAAATAAATGACAAGAAAACCCTCCAGAGGAATTCAAACTTGGTGAGAGTAACATACAAAAAAATCGAATTTTTCTCTGTTTTCAACCTAAAGAATCGATTCGTCACTGAGTTTTAATTGTTCCATCACATGCAACATCAAACGAATCGAATCTGCACATTTCAAACAAAAAATAAAAAGGAAAATTTTGTTCCCAACTTCAGCAACAGATGAACTCCAAGAATGGTTCACACATCTGACATAGAAAAATATGATTTTCACTTCAGATATTAAAATCAACAGGAAAAGAAAATGAGAACCCAGATTTCTTTTTCCCCCCCTCTCAGACCATGACATAACACCAAAGTTTTCTTTCTTTCTTTCAATTTTCTTGATAAATAAGTGATGGGGTTCAAAGCATCATATCAAAGTTTTCATTTTAATCTTGGGTCGTGGAATTGAGTTCACCGAAGATATTTCATAATTTAGAGATCTCTATTCTCAACATGACGTTAGGACATCTATATCTTATCTCTTTTTATCCGATTATATAGAATAAGGGTCCGTTAATTAAAAGCTTATCTTGTTCACTCTAATACTACTAAATTAGGGGCCGAGTAGTTTTCCCTTGTTTTGCATTCCCGTCTTAGAGAAAACAAGAGGGGAACGCGTGTGGGGGGAAAGGTGGGGTCTTGTGCCACGCAAGCGCAGGTCATCGGTATCACGAGGCCGAAAGCAAGACATCGAAGTGTGTGAGAGTGAGTACAAGGGGAGGATCGTGAGCGTTGGTTGGTTTGGGGGTAGCTGGCAGGCAATGGGTCACTGGCTTTGGCAGTGGCTGGGAATTTGTGCGATATGCTTTGGGCTTTTTCTCCTTTTTAGTGGGTAGTTATGCTTTAATTTAAGATGATTTTTAAGTTAATTTAAGATTAATTTAAAATATTATTATGTTTAATTTAAATAATTACAATATTTTTAATTACAATTAAAATGTTAGATTACAAGAATTAAGGTCTACCATATAAAATACTACGAAGAAAATAATATGTTTAATTGTACTATGTTCAACATAAAAAATTACATTCTTGACATAATTTTTAATTACAATAATTAAAAAAAAGGGTACATGACACCACTGGCTACTCTATCATCACTAAGTTTGCAATTGGATATTTCAAAAACTTACAATATACTATTCAATTAATTAATTATTATAACCAGATCAATATGTTGTTAACGCTCAAATGTATGTTACCATTTTATATTTTGATCACTTAAACATGAGCAAGTTTACATTTTGATTACTCAACTTTTAGGGGTTTTCTTTTCTAATTTCCTATAAGTTTGTGTAAGAACAATTTCTCATTGCATTGGTATTTTCTTAGACAAATTATTGTATATTGTTTGGTGGTATCTTGGGAGGTGCGAAAGAGCAGTGAGTGCGGTAGGCAATGCATGAAGCTTTTGAGATCTTTTCCCCGCTCTTGTCTGCTTGCAAAAGCTGCTTATACCTTTTCAACCATGGGCTGCCTAGCGAATCCAAAGCAACCCACTTCATCGTCCTTATTGTATGTATATATGGAATAAATAATACGGATTTTAACATAAAATGTTATATCATTAGTAATAATTTTATTTATAATTTAGAATATTATACAAATTTTTTGATGATAACTTTTTAGATTCTAACTAAAATGGTTATGCAATTTTTATAATTTATTGTGAAGAACACATCATTTACAATTATAACCTAAAATATTATTCAATTTACTCTAAAGAGTTACGCACTTAATAAATTTTTCGATTAAAAGCGATTGTAGTCTTTTCTTTAACCTTATACCCCTCCTCCATATTCATAGGTTGTATTAGATTTAAATACATTTTTTGTTTATAAATTTTAATTTTATTATTATAAAATTAATTAATTATTCAAATCGAGTATAGAATATAAATGTATATTATGTGAGGAACATTCCTGACCTCTTAACATTCCATTTTCATTATAAATCTAAATTTAATTCTCATTATTAAATTGTTCATTTTATATAATCTTATTATAAAGTTTAATTATTTTAAGCTATAAAAATTAACTATAACTAGTAGGAGATGTTCAATTATAAGTCGGGTCACGTTTTGAACCCACAAAAGAAAATTTGGGTGAGGTGAGGTGGATTCAGACCCATTAGTACATGTCGTAGGCCTGACTCTTAATGTGAGTCGAGTGAGAATTTTATTCCTAATTCTATTTTTAAAAAATAGAATCATAATAAAGTGTACAAATTTTGAACATATTTCATAAAATGAATATACATGATATCAAAAAATTAAAAATAAAATTCTAAGTTATAGCAAGGAGAGACCCAACCATACTAGGATTAAGCTGTGTATAATATATGATTTGATTAAAGGGTGTGTTGTTTTATGTAGAGGTTATGGGTTCAAGTAGTTATGTTTGTGGTATGTGTAAGTTGTCAATGACTAAGAAAGATTTTGAACAGATACTACTTTATAATCATCATAAGACTATTCAAATATAAATTGTTTGGGTGTAATATGAATCCTCAAATTTTCAGTTTTTATCAAGATCAATCAATTGATTAAAAAAAGTAATTAATATATTAAATTAACATCATTTATTTTATTTTTATGTCAATTTTTATAATTTTATATATAAAAAATAAAAATGATATGAAAGAAAAAAAGATGCGGATAGTTTTTATTAGTTTGAGATTATGAATAAATATGACACGATAAAGAGGATTCACCTAATAAATTTTCCAGCACAACCACCCGGTTTTCTTAGTTCTGGACAGATTGAAATGGAAGAATCGAAATGCTTACACGTACAAACGATGTTTGTAAATGACTAAATTCTTGATTTCAAACCAAAGAAAGAAGAGGGACGAAAATTGTATTTTTGGCATTTACACAAATCAAGGGTCAGATGGAAACACACCACTGCCGGCACGTAACCACTCGATTTTGCTCGTCCACATAGCTCTAGCTGCAAACCCCACATCGTCCCTACTCTCCTCCACCCTTCTAATCATTTTAGAAAACTAAACTTCATCGCTCAAGCTTAACATCTTTGTTCATGTCTATGCATGCAATACAACAAAACATACCCAATGCTATATATAACATTTAATTACATACTCCTTAAAAGATAATCTTCTCAGTGTAATTAAAGAAATCATTGAGAAATGTTAATGAAAATAAATGGGTTATGGTAGATATAAGATATTCACTCTTTCTAATTTAGGTGGATAGTCGTTGTCGATGGTGGATCTATAGTTAGTCAGTGTCAATAAGTTTTGTTTATGTAATAATCAATTTTGTTCTAAAAAAATTAATTTAAAATGCAAAAAAAAAATATTACTGTCAGGGTTTTAAATAGCGTTCGCGATAACGTTTTCGGTCGCGTCGTGTTTATCGCGGTTGCGGACATAACGGATGCCATCGCGTTCACTGAGGGTGTCGTGGTCATGAATTTTTTTAAATTTTACACAACTTATCTTAAAACATAATAAAAATAATTATAATTATAATGAATCATTTTAATGTTTTTTAAAATGTTTTCTAAGCGAAATTGACATATATATAATATAATTTAACCAAATAGAAGACTTTAAAAATCCGATGATAGGTGTCATAACTGATTTTCTCCCAGTACGATGTTTCTTGGGGAAAGCAAATAAATAAATGGTTTTCAATGAAATGTTTTAGAGTCGCCATCGACCTTATGAGTTAGGTAGGTCGAATACCTAAAAATCACATTTTAAAAGAGTTTTTAAGATAACATCATTTAAAAGATAAACCAGTTTACGTATAACAATAAATTCATTATTTTTAGTAATAAAAAGGGATTCGGGGTCGATTACGCGTGGGGAATGATTATCACCCCCACAACACCCAAAATTGGAACCCCATCGATTATAAATTGTCTATAGTAGTGGAAATCTAAGAATTCGAATATAAATTTAAGTTACGATCCTATTATTTCAAATTCAATCGCATAATTTTATTTAAAGGAAAATTCTAAGGTAAGCATATAAATAAAGTAAGCATATTTGATTTTTTAGGCTTTTCTAAGTAGGGTATTTATTTATTTTAAAATATCATATAAGGCCTAAAATAAAATAGTTCAGAATATTAAAATATAGAATTAAAATGACTAAAATATAATAAACTAAAGCATAGAGATCAAAATAAAATAATAACAGTGAGTAGATTATAAATAAAAACAAGGACCAAAATAAAAGAAAATAAAAATATCACAACTAATTTCGAAATAAAAAATATAAATGAGTGATTAAAATTAAACTAATGAAACTAGAGCATCATATTCAAAATAATTAAAAAAATGAGGAAGGGTGACTATTTTATAAAAAGGCGCATAAGTGTTAGAGACCTAAGAAGGATTAACCCTAAAACTTCTTAATAAACACTTCAATAAAACAATAAGGTAAATTATCATGATCAGACCCTATGATCCAGAATAAAATTCAAAATAGTCCAAACTCAATGACAAAAATATAAATATGCGGCTAAAGATAGGGGACTTAAATAAAATTAATCCAAAAATAAATTAATATAACCTAAAACTATACCCCATGTGTACTCCATCTCTTATATTTCTCTCCCTCTCCATCTCACGAACGACACTCACCATGGAGGCTCCAAGCCTCTCGATCGTCGGCCACCGAGAACCCGTGGCCACTCATTCCGACGACCACCGTCGGTCCAACCAAATTATACCCAATCTGAAGTCAAATAAAACCCGAAATGGGTCCCAAACCACCGCCGTCCGAGACCATTAACGAAAGGTAAAAGACTCACCTCTTTACTATTTTTTGTTCGAATGTTGCTGAGATAATAAAAAATTTCAAGGGAAAACTCGCTGTTGCTTTGGTATTGCTTTGAAAAGAAAAAAAAGAGAAGGATCCCTCAGTTACATTAACGGTAATAGCGTCCCATTATCGGCGCTATTCACTGTTACCCGTTAGATTGCAGACGCGATCGATCGATTTTAGCGCGAATCCGCTGCCCACCGTTATTTTCCCGAATTTCAGTTTCGGACGGTGGCGCTACCGTGAAATAGCGGATGCTAT